GGAGGGGGATGGGAGGGTAAGGGAGAGGAGGGAAAGGTAACTATAAGGATATTTGAAAAAGCATACGGAAGCCCACTACTTTGTTTCGTATATACATGTGTGTATACACGTGAGTTTGATTGGAGTTACCCTACGCAGGGAATTATGCTTATCCCAGAAGCCAGTGCCAGATGAGGGACACCTCCCCTCAAATTGTTGGCCAGAGGGTCCTGGTGACTCCGTGACAATATTGGCTATTGCCACCCCTCTTGGTTTTCCACCAAGAACTTAACGGTAAGACCCTATTGCTGAAGACACCATACACATTGGTCACAGGAAAAATCAAGTTGATACTGACCAGGAAGTTTCCTTCCTGCGGACTAGCTCTCATAGTACTGGAAACTGCTCTTCAGGCTGCTGGGGGAAAAGCCATCAATTATCTAACCCAGCTGTGAATTCTATGAACTACAGTAATGACTGGTATGGTGAGATATGTCCATGGGTGCAATAGTCATATGAATGTTACAGGGGTAACTAACCGCTGACTGGATTTAAGACCCACTCCATGGGGGGAAACCCGTGCCTTCTACTGCAAACGCGGCTAAGGGCCCATGTAGTTAGGGAGCTCACATGTCCCAGGGGTGAACCTCCTGCTATTATTCTACTAAATGGCCTTAGGATCCTTTAAATTCGTCTCTTTACCCGTAGATTAGTGCAGCCCCAGACCTCATCAGAGAAGTTTCTTTGTGCAGTGGTCAATGGTTAACACAGAAACTCTGCCAAAGTGCAGAGAGTAAGTGACTGTGGAATGCTCCACATAGCCTGTGGCACATCTGTATCACACCCTTTCCCCAAGTCTCAGGGACCATTAAGGAAGAGGGGGTAGGATTGCAGGAGTCAGAGGTCAGGGAGGATCACCAGAGCAAAACAGTGTCCTCTGGGCATGACAAGACCACCACGCTTATGAACTCACAGCATGCTGGTTGCCTGCACAACAGGTAGGATTGCAGGAGTCAGAAGTCAGGGAGGATCACCAGAGCAAAACAGTGTCCTCTGGGCATGACAAGACCACCACGCTTATGAACTCACAGCATGCTGGTTGCCTGCACAACACTGTAGCATGGAGTGGGAAGGGGTTAGTGAGCCTCCTAGTCATAATTGAGGAGGTATGGACAGGTGATGGCTTCTGAGGGAGAGTCATTCTTTCTTGAGGTTGTGGCTCCTGGGAGGTTGACCAGGCTCCAGGGGACAGCCCCATACCCAGAAGTACTCGGACAACACAAGTAGGAGTGCGTTACTAAATTTAAAAACAAGATATGGGGACTGGAGAGATGGCTCAGTGGTTAAGACACTGGCTGTTCTTGCAGAAGACCTAGGTTCGAATCCCAGCACCCACATGACAAGAGAGAAAGATGCAGCTAGGAGGACATAAAGATCTCTTAAACAGCTGCATCCAGTCACGCATCTCCAGGTTTCCTTGTGACATGAATGAAATAAGTCTGAGTTGGATTCTAGCCTTTGGAACCATTAATAGTACTTTTATTGCTGGCTCTAGTTTCTCAAAAATGAAAATTGGCCTCAATGTGACTCTACAAGAGATATTTGAAATATAAACCGAGGTCACACCATGGTGCTGTGCGAACACTGCACTGAACAGTAAGACCAAGAACCACGAAGGGTGTGACAGCTGATGCCATCCCCTCAGCTTCCTTACGTGGAGCCTACTCTGCATCTACTCTTTGAAGGAGCACCCCCTCTTCTGGGTCACCCCGAGACTGGCTCCTCCCATCCCACACTGCTTCCTCCCTCTGCTCAGCTGGGAGGCTCAGGATACAGATAACTCAGATCGTGTTTAATTATGAACAAAGCTCTCCAGGCGGGAATGTTCTTCAGCAGTCTGGGAAGACAGTGGGAACAGAGGCAGGCTTTGAGGGGTCTCTGTAGATGCTGCTGCAGGGCAAGGACAGAGGCTCTGGGGTCAGGTGAGGAGCAGAGCCACAGCAACAGCCATGGGAAGTGACCTGGCAGCCGCACTGGAGCCACTGAGGAGCTTGACTTCAGAGGGAAACAGGCAGGCTGAACAGACTGGGGACTTGGTAGGGACAAGCACGCCTTTCGGAAGAGTGAGAGCAATTCAGCGGAAATACTCCCATGAATCAGTGCAGGAGCCCTGTGGGAGAGAGGAAGTGGTCAGCACAGGTGTCCTGAGAGATACTTGCACACCGCCCTAGGGTCCCTTACAGCTTCAGACAGAAGAGGCTGAGGCCCAGAGCATACCACTCACATTCCCCACTAACTGTATAAACATGAAACCAGCAAAGGGGACATATAACTTGACCTGGACACATACGTGTGGGAGGTAGGGAAGCCCCTCCCCTTCCAGGGACTACGAAGGGCTAGATCTCTGGTGGGTTGGTGGTGACTCAGCTTCTTTCCACTACTGCCTGCCTCTTCCAGTCACTCTCAGTGTCCACAGGCAGTGGGCTCCAGCATGGACACAAAGCAGGCATCACATTGCTGTCTAACCCCAAGGTGTGGCTCAGGCCCCAAGTTTCACAGAAAGAGGGCACTAAAGTTATGGTGGCAACACAGTGCTCTGGGAACAACCTACGAAGTTCCCTACAGACATGGACAACCTTCTCCCCTAACCCTGACCCCACGGCAGGGACCAGGCCACCAACTAGGACTTGTGCAGGGTGCACTTGCCTCATGCCCTTCTCGCTCACCCCCATACCTCTGCCCCACCCCAGAGTCAGGGCTGAAATATTACCTGCTGGTGGAGGCCCACGAGTTCCTACAAAAGGAAGTTACACAGGGAAAGGTCTCGTTATACAAACGTGACTCACACAAACTCCAAGAGACAATGACACATGCAGTAGGTACACATCTTTTCTGTTCCCTAAGGCCCTGAGCACAACCCCCTCCCTGGAAGGAAGGGAAGCAAAGCTCAGGTTCTCAGTGGAGAAGCTTCTGGAAAGGAGCCAGTGAGACAGTGGTAAACAGCAAGAAAGTTGCAGAATGAGCTCCACCATTGGCTCTGTGGCACAGCTACCCTCCAACCAGTGAAGCCAGATTCCAATGTCTCCCTCCGCTGGGATCCCCCCACCACCAGTGCAGCCCTTCCTTCAGAGTCAGGAGCAGAGTTCCTCCAGAGACAGAATGCCCTGAGCAGAAGGTCGCAGGTACAGCCCCTCATCCCCACTGCTCCCAGAGCTCCTCACCTTTCTGACTCCTGTGACGGATGAAAACACCCAACCCAAGGAAGATCAGCCCCAGCACGAAGCCCCCAATGCCACTCAGCATCTTGCTCTGTGCAGATTCAGACTGTGCCCCTGGGGAACAGAGCCTAGTGTCAGTGTTTGTCCCAGACCCCACAACATCCCTGGCTGAGAACCTGAAGGCCAGCCTGAGTTTCATGAGGTGAAGGAGCCGGGAGACACGACTCTCTATGCTGACCATGTTTAGAGGATCAACAGACCCATCAGGAACTCTAGAACACAGCAGGCGGGTGGAAGAGAGGGACTAAGTAGATGCCTGGTCCTCACAGACACACCCATATCCTTAGGCCCTAAGAGCCCAGTCACCAGCCACAACTGTCAGTTCCTTAGTATCAGGATGGGATCCAGGATCACAGTGTATAGAGTGAGCTCCCAGTACTTCTGTCTGGAAAGACGACTAGGTAAAGATGCTTCAAAGGGGCAAGAAATCTAGTTTTCTGTGGTTCTCAGCTCAGTAGTGGAATCCAGGACAAGTGCTGGGAATGGGGGTGTTAGCGAGATGGGCTAGGGACAGGTGGGCGTCCTTGTCTTGTGGGACCTGCAGTGAGACAAGCAAGCTTCCCTTACTCCACTCCACGGTGACGGGGCTCTGCAGGCTGGGGTGCTCCACGTGGCAGGTGTAGACATCTCCACGCTGAGGGGTCATCTCCAGCATCACCAGGATCTGGAAGGTCCAGTCGCCATTCCTGATGAGGGGTGTGGACACGACGCCAACTGTCTGTTCCTGGCCATTCTGGAACCACCGCACTTTGATCTGGCCTGGGTAGAAATCTGTCACCGAGCAGACCAGCAGGTTGTGGTGGTTGAGAGCCTCTGTCTTGGATGGGGAGATGGTCACCTTGGGCTGCTCTGGGGGACAGACAGGAAAACACAGTGTGAGTGAGATGTGAGACACAGGGCTTCTCCCCTGGAGGAGGGGCAGGGTAGGAATCCCTGGGTCTCCGTACTGAACTAGGATCCATTCTACAAATGTCACTGGGAATACAAGACAACGCCAGCCCACGGCCCTGCTCTTATAGAACCCGCCACCTAGTAAGAAACAACACCACAGTGCATGTCATCTCAAAAATGTACAACTTCTTGCACTGTTCTCCTTAGGTCTCTGATCTTTGGCCTCATTCTTTACATTATCCGTCTTGAGAACAGTGTGGATTTCATCCATTACTGTGGATAAATTTCTGATTGTCTTATTCAATTGATTTTCAAATTGCAAATTCATGCTTTCTGGAATGAAGGCGGTGCATGTTTGATTTTAGTAGTATAAATATATGCCAGTTCAAATGATGTATAAAGTTTTATGAATG